CTTTTCATTGTGTGTTTGGACTCTTAGGTTTCATCAGCAGAAAACTTCCAAAGGTATGAAACTGTGTGCATTTTAACCAGCTTGAGAAACCACCTTCAAAATGCCCAGCCTGTCTTATTATCGCCGCATGATGTTTTAAAAAGCAATTTCAGATAAAGCTTTTGCCTTATGCACCCACCACTAGAATCAAGGGTTTATTCCAACTTCGTTTTATATCATAAGAAATAATGTATGTGTTCAAACATGATTTATCAGCATTTCTCGCATCTTACTCAAATACTGTTGACTATGTAAATTAAAGCTTATATATAGATGTTTATAGCTAAGTAAACACCTTCTATGGAGTTGGAAATCCTAAGCTTAAAAGGATGCTTAAGCATTAATATTTAATACAAATGACCCAGTGCTATCCTTTTCCTGTAGATACTTTTTCCATGTGCAGGGATGCAAGTATGACAATTTGGTGGCTAAAGTTGTTTCTTTAAAAAAAGAAAAGGAAAGGAACAGACAATATGATAGCATTTTCAAAACTTCACTCGGTAATTTAGAGCTGCAAGCTCGTTGATATTGTACAGTGTCTGCTAAAGTGTGGGAAATGTGGACGAAGCTTGAGCACCCGCACACCGTAAGATTTTCCAAATAAACACACTGTCTAGGCTTTCCTAACTCCTGAATGTTGACTCCTCCATTTAAAGAGACAATAAACAGGAGGTAGATGGATGATTCAACTTGATAGGGGAAGAGTTCATTAATCCTCCAAACTGACACTTGGAAGCAATCCATAGTGGCATCTTAGGCAAGCCCTTCCATGTTCCCTCTTTAGACAGCCTTAATGGAAGCTCTCCATGTGAATGAGCAAGAGTATAAATAGCTATTGTTTTCTTTTATATTGTTAAGTAAAATTTTTATAAGTGCGTTTATCACTTTAATTACTGTACTGCTCTTTAAACCTAGGAATAGCGTTGCTTGACACAAACACACTGATCTTGTAAAACACACACAGCTTCTTTCCCATTTTCTCTGCTCCATTTCACATGGAGTCTTCCTGTAAAATTTAAATATTTGCATACGTTTACTTTAAATGCTCTGATGTAAACCCTGACAAGTTCCTCATTTCTAAACTAACTCTCACATCAGTTGAAGGGAAAAATAATTTATATTGGCAGCTGCTTCTTCCATTGCTTTCAGTAAGGTAAATGCTGAAGGGTTTCCTTGATGACAAGCTCATGTTTATAAAAAGTGTTTCATGGAGTTATTACATTATTCCACGAAGGGCGGAGCCCAGAACTGTTGATCCCTAGTTTGAATTCACAAATTCATCTTAAGCTGACTGTCTTGGCCAATCTGTATCCTATCATGCTAATTTTAACCTTAGATATTTAGAGATGAGTGATAATTGAAGTATTATCTATGCATTTCCTTGCCCCACCCCCACCCCATTCTATGACAGAGGGATGATGAATTTGTCCAATTTTTATAGTGCTTTTTATACCACCTCAGAAGGCGCTTGCTCCTCTCTCGGGTTTACTATTTAGTCTAAAGAGTTCCGATTTGGGTATATTTAAGAAAGACTCAGCTGTCAGACGTAAAGAAACTGGGAATGGTGTTTTGACAGCCATATAGTGTTAAAGGAAATACTGTAGTCTGAATAAAATTGCTTATGTTCTCCAAAACAAGAGTAATATAAAAACACTTTTTTATTTATATGGAAAAGCAAAAGCAGAAATAAACTCCAAAGGTTTCCCTTTCTTCAAGAAATTCCGAGAGAGAGAGCTGCGGTCGCCATCTGTTAAGGGTTGGGAATTGAGCAAAAAGCCACATTTTAAAGGAAAAGAAAAGTTCAGAGAAGGCTGAGTCTTCCACGCTCCCCCTCTCCTACCCATCCCCAGGTCAGCACCCTGAACCCCCACTCCAACTCCCTGGATGGGTCTGTCCAGCCCATCAAGGTCCTCCTTGCTGCCTGGCCCTCCCACTCCTGCGGGCCTGTTAACCCGGAGCAGACCCGGGAAGGGAAATGTGGCTAATATCTCTAGCAGCTGTCAAAAGGGGGGCCTTTCCTTCAAAGGGATCCTCCACAAATTCTCCATTAGTCTTGCAGGCCAGCAATTTGATAAGGAGCCTGGACCTCCGCTACAAGTTGCCACTATGCAAGAGGGTCCTCTGTTGAGGTGTCTACACAGGGTGGCCCTAGCTAGGTGGCCACCCTGTGGTCCAGGGGCAGGGGAGATGGGGAGGAAGGATGGGAGCAAGGAGGACCTGGCTGGCGGTAGTGCGTGCAGAAGGCCTCCCCCTTGCGAGTGTATTTGCTGCAGAGACGAACCCCCTGCAAAGTGATGGAGGGGATACGGAACAGTTTGTTTTGCAGTGATCAACTAGAGGCGTCGCGCGTGGGGAGCCCCCCGGAGTCCCACCGCGGCTGGAGAAAGGTGCAGCGCTGGACTCTGGCGGTCAGATCGTGATGAGAATGGGGACCGTCGGGGCAGTGTTTGAAGGGAGGTTTTAATATTAATAGTTTCGCTGTAGAGACAGAAGGGAGATTGCGTCTACTGCTCCTCCGGGCAGACTCTGGGTGACAGGAATGATGGATGATCCGGCAGAGCCCAGCGGCCCCTCCCCTCCAGCCCCAACAGTGTCAAAGCTACTTTAGCTGAGGCTTTAGAAATAAAATAAATAAACAGCATCGCCCCCTTCTCTTCGCACCGCCGCCCCACCTCCCGCTTTCCGACACCGATTTATGGATCATTATGAATCAATTACTGCTCTCAATACTTTCCCATTGGCTTAAATAAAACAGTGGAAAGATGAAAACGTGGGGTTTCGGTAGGGGACTTTTTTTTTTTTCTTTTTTGCCCCTGACAGGAACAATCGCAAAATCCATTATCTCATAATCAGAGGCCCTGGGTTAGGAGGTGAAGAGGAAAGAAGGGGGTCACTCAGGAAATAACGCGGGAGCGCCAGAGGGGGAGGTGTCGCCAGTCGCTGCCTTTGTGGTATTTGGTTTGTTTGTTGTGTGTTTGGGGTGTTTTGAACGCAGAGAAGAGGGGTTGCCCGTGAGACTCCTATGCCTATAAGTTCGATGACCTGACCCTTAAACTCCTTTGCCAAATCCTCCTGCAGTGTGTGCCTGGGCAAGCATCTCTTGGTGGCCTGGAGTGAAGTCGCACGTGGGGAAAGGTGTGGAAGAATGGACCGGTCTGCAGGGCAGATTTGCACTTTGTTATAGGCAACTGTGCCTGGGCGGCTGGGGGGCCGCGCGGGGACAGTCCCCCTCCCGCCACTCTGCCCCGTCCCGCATGCGGCTGGCTGGTTTTGTCTTGCAACTGTTTGGGATCTGGACAACCCCCCCTCCTGCCCCCACCTCGCCCGCCCGAGGCTTTTCTTCCCTCTCCGGCCTCTGGCGGGGCGGCGCTCTAGGTCCTTGTAGGTGTTTCTATGACTACATTGTGTGTGTGGGAGGGTCAGATGTGGGGGTTGCCCGAGAGAGGGCCGTTCCTGGGCGGTCATTTATCAATGTCACCCACATAATGATTCTCTCTGCAGCGTCCTATTGATGAGGATAATTACATTAGCTCAGAGTGACTGATCAATGAAAAACCACCACACAAAAACTTCTTCACTCCTCTATAATACCAAAAACCGATACAGAAATAACAGAAAGTCGGATTCTCTTCCCCTCCTCTATCCACCAATGGATTCTGCACCCCACCCCCCACCCCAGGACCCGGGAATAAAGTAACAAAATAGACCTAGGTTTGTTTCGTTCAAGGAGGATGCAATTTTGCCTGTGAATGCATTTGCTCTAAATGCGTTGGCTTCGTTCCTCCATTGGTAAAGAATATCAACGGATTTGCTACTGTGAGTGGCTTTTAGAGTGGTCTGTGGTTTTCCGTTCTTTTTATTTCTTTTCTCCCTATTGGACCTTACACACACACACACACACACACACACACACACACACACACACACTTCAAAAAATGATAGGCAATTCTTTTCATACATCAATGGAAAAAATTATTCTAGATCCCTTCTCTAGATTTAAAAAAAATAAAGCATTTGCCTTGATCGGGTTATCTTTTTGTCTTTATCACCCCACAAAGTAGGGCAATTAAAGATGTGATGTTGTGTGGGGATTGAGGGTGCATCCATTATATGGCGGCATAACTTGCTTTATTCTCGCATGAAAGTTTGCAGCTAAATTACGATTTCGCTTTTTCTAGACTTAGAAAATCAATATTTTCTCAATTAAAGAGAATTTTAATGCCTCACTTGCGAGTTGTTAAAGGCGCTGTAAATTTTATTGTAATGTTTCTTAGCTTCGGAGTAGATTCAAGAGACGTTTGTTCTCCAGGTCTTTTTTTTTTTTTCCCGTCTCAAAGATCCTAGCCAGGAACCTTCTCCTGGCTTCAGATGCAATACCAGCTACAAAGGTAAGGAGACTTCCACAGGGAGCCTGGCACTGGAAGGGATCCCTCCATGGCCAGAGGCCATTGTCTGGAGTATTTTCACCTCTCTGGGTCCCACCTCCCCCAAGTAACAGAAGTGTTCATTTAATCTTTCTCAGAGGGAAGTACCAGAGACTTCCATCGGCTCTGGGACAGCCAGAAAAAGAGGTGCATTTCAGAGGGACTCTAGACGCTTCCTAGTGCCCCCACCCCTTCCTCTTTTTCTCTAAAGCGTACCCCAGAATGACTCACAAAATCTGCCCTATTTGACGCTTGCCCCAGCTTCCTTCCGTGTCCCAGTCCGCTCCCCAGTCTCAGGAGCACCACTGTTTACAGATGTTTTCTCCTTCCACGCGCCCCACCTAGTAAAAGTTCTCGGAGAGAACTAACTGGTCCTGGTGTCTTAACAGCCCAGGTCTTGCTGCTGCTCTTTCCTGCAAACTTGAAGTCTAGTGACGTAGAGGATGGCATTGAACGGGGATTGCTGAGCTTCCGAAGGCCCAGAGAAGACTGGGAGTCCCAAGGCTCCCGGACTGGGTGAAAAGCAAGGTGGACAAACTTTATAAAAAAACCAAAGTAGAGAGAGCTGTGATGGGCTATAATGAGGGCTTAGGGTGTGGCAGAAAGTGAGTCTTTCTGACTTATTTATAATTTAAGAAGCGATCACAAAGGAATGCCCAAGGATTGCTACTTTTTTTTTTTTAAACCCAAAGTCTGTTTAAAAAGCGAGTCCTCAGAGGTGCCGGGAAGGGCCCGAGCATCTCAGAGGACCTACTCAGAAAGTTCCTTTTGCAATTCACTCTCAGTTAATTTGCTGGGAATGAGAAGACCCGGGAAAGGGCTCTGTGTGTGGGGAACGGAGGGCTTAAGTAAGAGTATGATGGGAAGGGGCACCTAGATATAATGAGACTGCTGTTTTAAGCTGGGCAGAAAAGGAGTGGGGTAGACAAAAAGACACACACACACACACACACACACACACACACACACACACACACACACACCAGTGCACTTTAAAATTATTCTCACCTACCTGCCTTCTTTTTATTTGCTTTTCTAACTACACATCATATGACTCCTATACATAGGTGGGGGGAATACTCTAGTGCATCGTGTTGAATGCAGACCCACCCGACAGATCCCCTATTTCTGTAGATTCCTGACGTGTAAGCCTAAACCGTTGCCTTTTTTTTTTTTTTTTTTTATCAAGGGAATCCGGCTTTGTTAATGTATTTGTACTTTTCTGCTTTCAGTCTACGTTCCTGCTTTGGAGGAAGGAGGAGGTACGAGGAGGGGGAGGGGAGCAGAACACAAAGACTTTATCTCGTTCTCACCAAGCAGGTTTCAGAATAGGAACTTAATGGGAAGAAAGAATAAAAATAAAAGAGGAGTGTGAGAACTGTGCACCACAAGTTTACCAGTCTGCGAATATTTTTTTTCCTTCTGAAGATTCTGTTTTCCTCATATTGAAACATTTTCCAATTTTAATCCTTTAGCAGACAAAACCTCAATATAAATATGACATGGGCCACTGGCAAAAAAACGAACTGAAACTCAGTGGGCAGAGGGGAGGGTGTAGGGAGAAGAGAGAGCCCTTTCTGATTAATAACTAGCAGGGTAATGTTGAGGGCTTTTTCTGCCCGATTGCCTTTTTGAATTAGAGCCGATTTCTTCACACTTCAATAGTGCCTGTCTCCTTTAAAATGACTGGCAGATCTGTTTCTCTTTTTTCTCTCCCTGAGACTTAATGATGTAAATTTTCTAATTAGTTAAATCATATTGCTTAAAGGGCTAATATTTACCGTGCAAGAAATGATTATTCTGATTTGGACCTCTTGAAATATTTCGAGAAATAACATTTGGCTTTTAGGTTGAGGGATGAGAGAGGGGGAGGCGCTGATGGAGTGAGGGAAGGCGCGGACCGGCAACATGTTAAATTAATAGTTCAAGTTGAGCTGGGCTCACACCCCAATTCCGCTTTTATTTTTCAATCAGCGAAGATTTAATTGGCAGCCCTCGGGCCGGGCGATCTGATATTTTCTCATTAGTTTCCCATCACTAATCTTGAGTGTTAGATTGGCTTACAGGTTGTCAACATTTGACCAATTTTATTTAGGGGGGGGCGCATTATGACTCCGGGATGTGAGATCTGCAAATAAATCCTGCTTGGATCAGCGGAACTAACAGGCGAAAAAAATGTTGACTATTCATCGTCGCATCTAATAAGTTGCATTAATGTATATTTCAAGACGCGTGATTATACGTGCGCTGTAAAGACACAGACGCAAAGAGGTCGGTGTGGGAGCACTAAGCTAGCTGAAGTGAAACGCAGATATATTTCGAGCCGAAGGTAAATAACCCGAGTAGAATCTCTGCTGAGGGTTTAGGAGCTATGATCCTCCTCCCCTTCCTCTTGCAGCTGCGTGAAACCGCCAAGCCTGTGTCGCCAGCTCTGAGCGGCTCGGCCGGTTGGTCCACAGATAACATCAGAGCGCCCCCTGCTGGCCAGCAGGACAGACCGTGGCGGGCCAGCCCCCTGCGAAGCCCACGGTGTTTTTCTGCGCTCCCCACCCTCCCTTCCTGCTCTTTCCACCGTTCCCACCCGTGACCGGCTGCAGCAAGGGAATAGCTTGTCAAGGCTGAGCATTTAAATGAATAAATGATGAAAATAATAACAAAATAGGAAGGTACCCACACCTTCACTTGGCCTCGGGGAATAAACGACCAAATGCCTTAGCAAAAGGATACATTTTAAAAAAATCTCTTTATTCTGTGGGGTTTTGCTGTAGTTTGTTTTTTTCCCCCCTTGCAGGTTTAACGTCCAAAGAAATGTTTTAATGGATAATTCAGAAAGTTTTTTTTATTATTGAAAAATAGATATCTGATGAGGGGAAACCAGGAACGCCAAATAATATTTCTTGTATTCGAAAAATTAAACTCCTGGGGGAAATTTCACAGTTTCACAAAAGTCTACAGGAATCGCTTTTGGAATTTAGGCAGTTTCCAATTTGGGGTGACCCTTTTATGCACAACAAAGAGGATCTGTCCCTCTCTGTCTGTCTTTCTTAGTTGTCACCGTATCTACACACAAATAGGTCTTTTCCACGCGTATTTTCTTTTCTGGCCCTGCTTTCTCGCTTTTGCTGGAGGCAGAAAGGGTGGCTGGAGCGCACCCCAACATCGCGCCAGAGTGCGGGCATTTCATCTCACCCAGTGCAAGGTGCGCTGCACGGTTTCAGAGGGTTGGGGTTCGGTGCAGAGCGGCATCCTTCCAATGTCCGGATTACTCTTGCCTGGGATTTCTGCGCGGTGGGGAAGGCGAAGGCTCACAGGTAACGCCAGCCCAGCTCCACCGTCTGTGCTCCTGGGAGGAGGCACTGGCCCCTGCAGCCCAGTCTCAGAAAGGTCTCCCCACCTCGGTCAGACCCCCCACACCAAGCGTTGTCTATCTACCATGCGGAACGACTTTAGCTTCTCAGGGAGTTTTGGGTTTTGTTTTTAAAGAACCAGATTGTGGGGTTTTTCTGAGAACAATTCTGAGGAGCGAGGCTCTGGGGAAGGAAAGAACGCGGCAGGGAGGACAGCAGCTAAAGGTGCGTCTCCTTTCTTTTCTCCCCAGGGCGCCCAGCTCCTGGATTGCGCAATCCGTTCTCTCTTCTGCTTCTCGGCAGTTTCCACTTTCATAGCTCAGCCCCCACCCCCACCCCCACCCCCGTTTGTGGATGCTGGAGGGCTGGGTCAGGAACCCTGGGGCCCCACAGAAAGGGGCACTTCTAGGACAAGGCAGTGATGGGCGATAACCTAGATCTTCTGGACAGAATAGGGATGCCTCAGTGCAGCTGAGCTTGAAAAATTGGTGGGGGCTATTGTGATAACTGAGATAAATTTAAATATTTATTACCAAGCAAGCTGTTATGATGGGAGGGAATCTGTTTTGAAGCTCATTGCATTCAAAGTTACTTTAAAAGTATATTCTCCGGGGAAGCCTGGCACTGAGGTTGACTTTTCGAAAGGTCCCCTTTAAGCTCAGGAGTGTAAGAGAAGTTACTTCCCAACACATGGGCTGCCTTAAATATATGTGTATATAGGTATATGCATGCACATGAAATGCATAGCAGTCTAGATAGCTATATAAACACAATAAAACAAACACAAGGAAGACAGTGAACCTCACTGCAGCTGAACTCGGAACAAGAAGTACTTCAGCAATATACTCTCACGGGTGGAAAAAATGTGGAAATGCTACTGTGTTTGCTTACGTCTAGCTTAATCAAATTGGGAGACATTGGCAGTCTGGTCAGTGTTCTAAGTAAATTGATGCAAAGGTCCCCGAGAAGAGACAGAAAATACCCTGCCATTAATCTTAAACCACTTGAAGATTATGATTGAAACAATGAGATCTCTAAGACTTAGCTTCTCAAATGGCTGTTAACAGTCCCGTGCCTATATTGTGGCAACAAAATTAACTCTCCAAGAGGAATAGTGCTCTGTCTTTTAAAAAAAAATCTTTGTTTTTGTTTTGCTTTAAAGACAAAGAAAGGAAAAATCAGCCAAGGAACCTGCTTTAAACACTCTGGATCTGTTGCTGGTGAGAGATTGTCCTTCACTTGTGGTGTGCTCGGTTGGGTTACAAAGGAAAAGGAATTGAATGATGCCTCCCTGGGATAAAAAGAAAGCACTAATATCAGGTGATAGTTTCCCCTCTTCCTTAGAAGAACTTAGTTAATTTTTATTTTTTAATGTCCAGCGATTTTGCAGTTGAAAGTTGTGCAAATGTAAAAGATGTTCCCTTGTCCACGGCTATCAGCCGACTTCTGTCACTTGAGGGCTGCAAGCTTTTGTATCAATTAAAGAACGTGGGAAAGAGAATTAGATACCGATATTGTACACTTTCAAGTAACACCACCCCCTCCCCTCAGGCCTGCATTTGAATGGGAGTAGTGTTACTATTTCCCCTAATAACCAGAGACCCACACTGAACCGAAAAAGAGGGCTGAGCACTCCATCACTGGGCGTTCTGACAAAGATGTAGCTGCTCTTTGCCCCTAGAGTCCTAAGTAAGGATGTCCCCACACACACGCAATGTTTTTCTTAGAGACTTGGGTGGACCTTTCAGAGAGATCCTGAATAATTAATATTAAAAAAAAAACTAAATGCTGAACAAAGAGAGGCAGGTAGCAACAATAACAACAACAAAAAGATAAAATAAAGGGTGCTAAAAATTATTTTTCAACTCTGCACAGTTGCAGATGCCGCAGGATCAGAGCATCTCAACCTCTCTCCCGCGGAGAGAGCTTGCACTGGAGCGATATCTCCACCAGAGACTCAGGAAACAGAGGGTGTCTGCGGAGAGGGGAGAGGATGGGACCTCCTAGCGCCTGCTCTTCCCACCTGTTCCCTGCCACCAAACTGGAGCGAAGTGGCCTCCAGTCTCCAAGGGGCACTCACGAGGGTGTGTCGCCAAACCAAAGCCCAGGAGCCTGCCAAAGGGAAAAGACCTATGGGTCAGAGGCACATGCCACTGCCTGTCTGGCTGCCTGGCCGGCCGCCTGCGCTTGGGTGGACAAAAGGCTCACAGGTCACGCTGGTGTCCTAGCTTCTGTATGGAGGGAGCAGGCGCTGTAGTGTGGGCGCGAGCGCTGGGACACACGTGCACTGGTGTCTGTATCAAGCCTCAGACGTCAACTGGGAAAGTTCCCGACCCTGCGCGTCCCCTTCCACAGATCCTACCGCATCCCCACCTGCTACCTAGGTCCCCCAGAGCCACACCCGGACAGGTGTGCCAGCCTTGAACCGACAACCTCAGGGGAAAGACCCAAGCGAGGAGAGGCGAAGGTCGTAGGATGGGCGGGGTCAAGAAGAAGGATGGAGTTCCTCGAGCTTGGATAGTCCTACGTTGCAGCGTTGCAGCGACTGTCACCACACTCAGTCTTTCCCGCCCAGACCTACCCAGTCTAAAAGGCAAAGAGATTGATTCTGGCAAACAGCGGACTCTGGGAAACCTCGGGGGTTGCCACAGACTCCTGAGACTGGGCAGGCTTGGCTTAGGTTCGAAAACACGGTTTTAATTTTCTTAATGAAGGCACGCTCTAGAGCTCAGCTGGTAATGGCTGTGCCGAGTTTAATAGACTTCTGTCGACCAGCAAAAGACGGATAACTATCGGTTATAAGTAATCTGCTCTAATGCAATTATTTTTCCAGGTTCAAAAGTCATTCTGCAGAGAGGGCAGGAGTGAATTAAGCCCCCAGGGAACTGTGGACATAGGACACAAGACCGCCTGAAACCGGATCTGAACCTGGTTGGAGAGATACTTGGGCTTGGGGGAGGCGTCCAAGGCTTCTCTGACCTCAATGTTCCCACCTCCCCTCTCACCTCTCACCCATCCATCCTTCTTCCTCCACTATTGGTCCCTGTCTCCTTTCCATCTCACTCTTTTTTTTTCCCCTCAGCTCTTGAAGAGTGAATGTTAATTCTCTCTCCTCTATTTACCTCATGTTTGGGGGTGGGGTTGTAATTCAGACTGTCTATTGAGTCCAAAGTATTTCACTCATACAGAAGTCACTATTGGACTGTCAGGAGTTGAAATGGAATTGTGTGTGATGTTTAGAATATCAGTGTGGTCATGAACACACAGCTAATAATATATATATATATATATATATATATATATATATATATATATTTCTAGCTGAACATGGAACCAAGCCCATCTGTGTCACCATAAAGTTAGCCTACTTTGAAGTTTTTACACAAATTATCATTCCAGGCAGTTTTTATTTGGAATTACCCAAGCTCTCCTCAGCTATCTACTTCACTTGGCCCGAAACACAAACCTCAGGGAATCGTGATTTAAAGATATAAAAACTAGAGGGAGTCGTTAATTTTCCTTCGCACAGAAACCAAGCCAGGAACCCAGTGTGCCCAGAAAGAGCATCTGGGGAGCCTGGGGCTTCTGGCAGGAGCACTTTACCCCCAGACCAGCTGCAGGACAAAGGAGGTTCTTGGAAGGAGTGCTAAGAAACCCGAGGTGTCCATTCCAGACCCGAGAGCACCACCACCCACCTCCAGTGTGAGAGAACCGTGATGTAACTGGAATGCAGCAAAGCCCACTCCTCACTCCTCCGTAGCCTTGCGTGTTGCATGCACTATACGCCAGCCCCATCTTATTCTTTCCTTTTTAAAGTACAAGCACAAAGCTCTGCAGTTACTATCTCCTCTCCTTTGCCCCAAGCCTGCCCCATCCCATGCCTTCTACAGCAAGAAGGTTAAATGGAGCTAAACCCCGTGGACACCCCTTCTTCAGGTCTCAGCAGCTGAGGGCACAGCTGGCATCTAGTCATAGGAAGTTGAGAACAGCCAAGAGGGAGACCCTCTTACCTCCTGGCCCTGTAGTGTACACCTCTCCTAGAGGGTCGGAGTTCTGCAAGAGGTGTGGGCAATTCTGGTTTCTCTCCCTCCTTCCCAAGCTCTTCCTAAGCTCCTGGGTCCTCAATCCTGAAGGATTCCCAGGGCTTGCAGACTCTGGACAGAGGGAACACATGGGATTTGTCATCTAATTGAAGAGGAGGTGGCCTTGGAAAGTCACCAGCCAAAAGAACCACATTCAGCTCATTAAGTGCTGAGAATCCAGTAGCCTTTAATTAAATCCTGAGAAAAGTGCGAGAAGTCACTGGCCATGCCACTCAGCCCTACTCTTCCATCCTGTCACAGTCACCCCTACCTAGGTCTATTATCCAATCAGAGGGCAGGCCCGCAGCCACTGTTAGTTGAGGGACTATAACAATGGAACAATGAAGCCCAGAAAGCCCCCAGGCTTTTGCTATGGTTTCCTGTAGTAGGAGAGCAGAGGAAAGAGACAGTCTGCCCCCAAAGTGGCTTTTTAAAGTCCCCCCCTTAGATGAGCAGAGTTGAGAAGGACTTGATAAAAGTGAAGACAAGCCTGTTAGTTACCTTCTCTACCCAGGAAGCAACCTGTATATGTTAAAGAGCCCATCTCTGCTCTCACCAGCCAAGACACCTGAGCAAGGCATCTCAGGGCCCCTGACAACCTCTCCTCCAGAGTTCTGCGTTCCTGAGCCCTCTCAGGCCATCTGACCTCTGAAGCAAAGGACTAGATTGGTCTGGAGAACATAGGCCTCAACAGGAGGCCAGGTTCTCTCTCATTCACGCATTTGCCTTATGAGGAAAACATTTCTCTTCCATTGTTTTTGCTGTGATATCAATGTATGATCACGTGCACATTGTGCTTAGAGTTGTCTAAAGTGGACTGGCTTGAACATAGTACACTTTTTTTTTTGTTTTGTTTTTTTCGAGACAGAGTTTCTCTGTGTAGCTTTGCATCTTTCCTGGAACTCACTCCATAGCCCAGGTTGGCCTCGAACTCACAGAGATCCTCCTGCCTCTGCCTCCCGAGTGCTGGGATTAAAGGCGTGCGCCACCGCCACAGTATACTCTTAAAAACAAAACAAATATGGATAGAGAGCCTTGAGCACCCGGGACCCTCTTCCACTGCCTTTCCAAATAAGATTTACTGGCCATTGTACTTACTTTGAGACAGGGCTCACTGTGTAGCCCTGGCTAGCCTGGAACTTGCTATGTAGACCAGGTTGGCCTTTAATTCACACAGATCCCTCTGCCTGATTCCCAAGTGCAGGGATTAAATGTGTGTGTCAGCCACAATACTAGGCAAGATAGGAGCATGGCAGCTTAATCCCATAATTCTAGCACTTTGGAGGAAAGCTGAGGCAGGAGGTTCACCATAAATTCCATTCAAGACTATGCAGTACGAGCCTGTCTCAAACAAACAAGAATCTGAGGTGACAAGAGCTTCACAGACAATACTCCTCGAATAATATATGGTTACATCTTTATGCTCCCTTAAAAGAAGTCGGGGCGACCCTGTGATGTCAGAGACGAACCTTTTCTGCTTCTGTATTTACATAGCTTTCCCAGTCATACAGGTTAAGTCATCTGCTCCCAGGGTGCTTTGCCCACCACAGCAGTGTGAAGAAGGTATTCAGTCTTACTTTACAGCACACCCACAAGCTTCAGGACTTTATGTTCAAGGCGAGTGTAGAGTCGGGTCATGGGTATCAACTAGTTCAGATAACCCACCTCAATCATCACAATTTTATTTTTAACTTATGTTCAATTTGATTTCCCTGCGCTGTTCTTAATAAACTTTAAAAAACCCAACAGGAGTACACGATACCCACCCTCTCCTATGATACATTTGTAAAATCATGTCCTATAAAGCTCCCTTAACGTCCCCATGGAAACCAAGGTCTCTCCAATTAGATTGGGAAACATGGCTATCATGTTAATTCAAAGGCAGTTGACTCAAAGAGCCATCAATGGTTAGTAAATTCTGACAACTTTTCTAGCATTTCTCTGAATTTCCAAGCCGAGATCTGCAGGCTTGTTGAGACATTCCCTATATGTGCAACGGTCATCATTCGGATGGAGCCAGACAATGGATAAGAAAGCAGCTTTCAAAGATGTAGTTGACAATTCATTCCTCTTCTTTCTGAGGCATGGCTCCCCATGTAGCTCCTGCCTGGCTTGGAATTCACTGTCTCCAGCCTGCCTTGAACTGGCAGCATTTCTCACACCTCACCCTCCTGAGCACTGGCGTTACGGACATGCACAACCGTAGCTATTTTTTAAAAATTCATTTCTACCATCTACCCAAAGTTTTCTAGGCATTATTTAATAGATAACGAAGTTCTCCAGACTCATGCAAGCCACATCTGGAAGCACTTCCTCTGCCCTGCCCATCACCACCCCCTACCAGAGAAAGCAACAGCCTAAGGATCCCCCCCCCCATCATATGATAGCATCAGCTTTTAATCAGTGAAAGGCACTCCTATTTAAATTTACAGGATGACTCTTTATTTCATTTATCTTTTCTTTTGGAGGAAAGTGAAACAAGAGCACCACCCTTATTAATTATAAGATTGATGGGGTGAAAAAAGCCAAATGAATTTGGCTTGCAAATTATTAGTGGAGGTATGAATATTTATGAGTGTGCCAGGAACTGCAGTCATGAACCCTGGGTATCAAGCTTGGGAGACAGTCAGACCAATGCCTTCCATGAGGCTCAGCCTTCCCAAATCTGACATGACATAAACGGGAAACTTCTAAATTAGACACAGGGTGGGCTCCCATCAAATAAGTTACTTTTTTCCCCAGTGTGTGGGTAGCCTTGCTAAAGATGAACTCATTTCCAAAGCCTCTGTCATGAGCTTTAAGAATCTTTTACAATGAAAGGCAGATAAGCTGTATGAAGAAGATCTTTGTGTTTTTTCCTACTTGATATTCATCTATTTTAAATTGTTTTCTGTAAAATATTTGTGCTATGCAATTTCAAAATGTAAAACTGTTTTCATTCAGTGTAAAAATACTGGAAAGCTAAAATATTCCAAGCATAGACGTGACTAAGGTGTGTGTGTGTGTGTGTGTGTGTGTGTGTGTGTGTGTACACTTATAATATATATGTATGTATGTATGTATGTATATGATATAGTGAAGCACCCTTTTAATCCTAGAACTCAGGAGGCAATGGCAGGTGGATCTCTGAATTTGAGGCTAGCCTGATCTACACAGTGAGTTCAAGGCCAGCCTGATCTACAGCAAGAGGAGCCTATCTCCAAGAAAGAAAGTAAGTAAATGAATCAAAAGCAGGATTCAGAAATCTGAAGAAAAAAACCCCCTCTATCTTCCTCTCTACTGGACCTGGCAGAATGTCTTGAGCTCTTTGGAAGGGGTGCCAGGGGTCTGGCATTGAATGAGCTCAGTTTCTTTACCCATTTCTTTCTGCCGGGTGTGTGAGCAGGGGCTGATCGAACCCTATATAAAAATGACTCCCTGTGACATCAGAGTCTGCTTTGTAGATCCTCTTTGAAAGCGGAGACAAGTTGTGTTCAAGACAGAGACACCAAGCAATTTAAAAAATGCTCCTCAGATTTTCTGGAAAAACAAAACAACAACAACAAAATGCTCAACCAGTGTTCTCCCTCCTCCACAATGCTAAGTGGATATTTGTGATAAATTGTTGCTTTATGTATATCCTGTCTCGATTTGTCTTTTTTCGGTAAGGATGTAATTTTTTTTTTAAAGAAATGACACTACCGACAACAGTTTACTTGAATTCACCAACCTTGAAATTGATGCATCTCCTATCAATCACTTTCTGGAGACACAGTGAAGCACATTCCACATTTGTACATCAATAGTGGCACACTCACATCCGTGCTGTTCAGTTTAAGTGCACTGCAGGACGGCATGTCACACTTTCCTGGAACATCCTTTGGGTCAGTCATCTGCTCGTCACATTCTTAACCTAATGAAAGTTCAAACTACAATCTCTACTAGTAGATTTTTGAGCTGAAAGGCGGCCTTGAGGTCATTTGGTGTGGTCCCCTTATTGTTCTGACTCAGAAGTGGAATTTTGCAGATGGCAACTGACTAGTCCAACTCAAAACTCACTAGCTATAGGGTCTGAAAGGACCCCGAGGGTCTTAACACGAGGTTAATTTTTCCTATTATCTGGTGCCTTCCCACTTTCTGATGCCTGTAGTCCAGCAGTAGTTATAGCATTTAACATAAACTTTTCTAACATTTTCCCTGCCACTGCAGTGGCAGGGTGATTCTTATTAAATAGTAATAAGGTATTGACTGTCCTGCCTGCCAATATGAAGATTGGTTGTTGATCTGTGATGCCTGTATCGATCAGCTAAGAATAAGGTCTATCCTCTACCTTCGCTATTGGCACAAAAACAAATTTTGTATTAATAGAACTACAACTTTCCTTATTTATTGGTTGTACCTTAGTTCAGTCAATCAAGCTAGAAACAGACATAAATAGGAATAACAGAAAGAAACACCTCAAGATCTAAAAAAGTATCCACTAGGGCTATTGAAACATGGCCAGCGTTCCTTGGCGTCAACACATGGCTTCCTTATTGGTAAGTCTCACACCTCGGTCTTCTTCATCCCAGGTTTAATTTCACACAGACTCGCGCTTTTTATACTAGGGGGCATCTTATTCAGTTCTGAAACGATCTTCTATTTGTGACGGGCTCTTCCGTCACCTTGTTATTCCTGTAGCTTGCTGTCAGAAACGTCACTCCCAGTCTCCTCTGCACGGCTCTTCACCTGCTGTGGAGTGATTGGGAAGCTCTGTTCTCTTCTTCCCCTACAGCATACAGTGAGGGCGTGGGCGAGCCCGCTCAGTGGTTAAAGCACTTGCCACACAAGTGTGAGAATCAGAATTCAGATCCCCAGAAGCCACATGAAGGCCAGGTGGGCACGATGGCTGTCCTCTACTTCCGGTGCTGGGGAGGTGGAAACAGGATCCTGAGATCAAAATGGATAGCTAGCGTAGCCAAATCGGCAAGGGCTGGGTTCCAGTGAGAGACCTTGACTCAGTACATGAGGTGAAGCACATTTTGGGTTGGTTTGGTTTGGTTTTTGAGACAGGGTCCCTTTAAACAGTCTTGGCTGTTCTGGAGCTCTCTATGTAGACCAGACTGGACTCGAACTCACAGAAATCCTCCTGCTTCTGCTTCCCCAGTACTGGGATTAAAGGTGTGTGTCAGGTGACATGTATTTGAAGAAGGCTCCTTATGTCAGCCTCAGGGTTCCATGTACACTGCCCACACACATGCTAACACTCGTATACACAAGCAAGCAACACATACATGCACATGAAAAAGAAATTGAGCACTTTCATTTTCTATCCTTCTCCTCCTTGCCCAGCCTGAGGTCTGTCTTAAGTCTACTAAGGAACATTCATGATTTCTCTCTGAGATAAGGATTTTTATCCCAGCAACTTCTTTATAGATTCACATACCTAACTTCTGTGGGAAATGTTTACATATAAATATTTGGGGGAGTGTTTTTTTTTTTTTCTTTTTCTTTGAGACAGGGTCTTCTTACACATCTTGGAACTCTGTGTAAACCAGATTGGCCTTGAACTCTCAGAGATCTGCCTGCCTCTGCCTCCCAAGTACTGGGAGGATTTGGGTGTATTTTCTGAATCTATGATTAGGTTGAAACCCAGACAGAAAAGAAAAAAAAAGCATCTTCTAATATAGAAAGTTTCAAAGCCAAAAAAAAAGCAGATGTTTGATTTAAAATATATATATGTATATATCTAATATATATAAATTAAAGTCTCAAACTTTTAGGCATTTAAAAGTTTTTCTCAATGATTTTCCCTCTACTCTCTTCCCATTTCATTATTTTTTCATGAATATGATAAATGGTCATTAAATCTAAGCATTTTTTATCTAATGTTTATAAAAACTGGTAGGTTTTCAAACAGATGTGGCCTGATACGGTTCAGTGAATTTAGTGGACTTCTCATATAAATGGAATACTAACCATACAGAAGATGGATTTTATGCCCTTGTTTACCTCTTCTAGAAGGCACCCTTATTATAATTACAAATAGTGTTTATTGCATGTTGTGCAATAGACACATCGTTGCCCAGACATGCGCAAACCTTCACTTCTCATTGCCATCTAGATCTACAATCTGAGGTAACACTGAGGATGCAAAGACACCCACATGAGTAGAAGGTGTGGCACCCTGAGGGTGTTCTTTTCCAGGAGAGAGAAAACGCAAAGGAGCCTAATTTGTGACGGAACAAACACTCATCCTTTCGTTTTGCATTTCCCTGTCAGACTCCAATAGGTGGTTGGAAAGAAAGAACAGCTCATTTCACTGCATTTACTTTTACCAATTAAGGATGATGTCGCGGGAACATCACTTCCTTTTCTAACTTTCCGTGGTATTTTTAATAATCCATGCCATGTATTTTTAGTTATACGTATGTGGGTGTGTTTGTGTCTCTGTGGGCATGCACAGGTGAGTGGCAGAGTTCAGAGGTGCCAGAGCCCCTGGAGCTGGTGGTAGAGGTGCTTGTGAGCCTTCTGATGTGAGTGCTGGGAACCGAACTCAGGTCCTCTTCGCGAGTGGTATGTGTCTTTAATTGCTGAGCCATCTCTCAGCCTCTAGCCTTTTCTTGTAAAAAATGATTTATTTATTGACATGCGTATATGATTGGGAGAGTACACACACGGAGGTCAGAGGACCACTTTATTATCAGTTCGATCTTTCTACCTTCACGTGGGTTCCAGGGATCAAACTCAGGTCAGCAACCTTACCCAGCAACTGTTTCCATCTGCTCCACTGTCCACCCGCTTCTAAGCTGTTCAAAAAGGGATTGATCAGTAAGGAGAAGGAGGTGGCAGCTAGAGCGGCCTATGTGGACAGCACACACCAGCCCAAGCAGGAGAGGCAATGGGTTCAGACATTGCTTTCTGGTCACACCAGAAGCATATTAACAACAACAGCTCCTCAATAATTAATTATGTGACATTAGCCAAATTAATCAATGCATCTCGACCTTGTATTGGAGCTTTTAATTTTGAATTTTGAATTTTATGTGCATGAGTGTTTTGCCTGCGTGTATGTTTGTGCATCACATATATGCCTGGTACCCTTGGAGTCTAGAAGAGGATGTTGGATTCCTGGAACCCGAGTTACAGGCAGCTGTGAGCCACCATGTGGGTGTTGCCAACCGAACCCAGGTCCTCTGCAAGAGTACCAAGCAGTTCCTGCCTGCTGAACTGTCTTTGGAGTTTTACATAGTGACTAAATTAGTGAATGCGTAAAGACACTTTTCTCAATCAAGTGACTTGTGGTAGACATTCAGTAAATATCGATGATGATTTTATTGTATGCAATAAGAATTTTATTTTTATTTATTTTATTTGCAATGTTGGACAGCAAACTCAAGACCTTATATATATCAGGCAAGTGCTTTATCATGGAACATACCAGCAGCCTCTACTGCTATTTACTTTCAGTAATAAATAAGGCAGTCAACACCTTCCCAGCTCCCTTCAAGCTTAGAACAAAGGCACACGTGACATTTAGACATCTATTTTTATTTATGATTTGATTTAATTTTGTGTTTTTGAGACAGGGTTTCTCTGTGTAACAGCCCTGGCTGTCATAAAACCGGCTCTGTAGACCAGGCTGGCCTCAAACTCACAAAGATCCGCCTCCCTCTGCCTCCCGAGTGCTGGGATTAAAGGAGTGTGTCACCACGCCCGGCATCTATGTTTATTAATAATACAGAAATTCCACAATTCCCTCATTTATTGTTTGCCCTGTAAGTTAAGATGGCATACACTGTTGTGCATAGGTCACTCTGCAGTCATTTATTTATTTGGTTTGTTGTTACATAGTGTAAGTTTACTAGGCTGGCAGGCAGGAAAAGTAGATTCTGATCATCACTGGTCAGTTCTGTAACAGGACTTTACTTCCTTCACCTATGAAACAAGTTACAGTAAAAAAATGTCCAAAGTCCATTCTGACCCCAACAGCCAAAGATTCAGTGACTGACATAGAAACGGTACCCTAGCAGAACTTTTCTCCACTCTCTTCTGAGTATATACTGAGAGACAGACCCACTATGTGCTTGTTCTGCCAGGATGAGTTTTGTCCTCAAATTTACAGTCTAGCGAAACAACTAGCCACATCACAGCCTAACCTATGCTCTAATACAGGTGTTTACATACAGAATGTTAGGACCAGATCCAACCAATGGGCAGTAAACCTGTAGTCAATGGGAGAGACTCAGGAAATCTTTGCTGATGAGTGGGCACCTGAACTGTGCATTGAAGAAGAAATGAGTTAAGAGAGAGGAGGGAGGGCTTTTAGGTGGAGATAGTAGTAAAGCAACGTAAGACAGAGAGAGTACATGGCACAGGGAACTGACAGTACAGAAGACTGGAGGTAGAGGCTGTGGGCCAGCATGTAAAGATGAGCTTCTCACACGCTTCCATTTACCGTGGTCCACTTCACATTCCCAGTCTTTACTCACCAACCACACAATTGTTCAGGCTAGAAATGTAAGGGTTATCCTTGTTAAAAAACCTTCTCTTCATCCATGATTATCTCTAAATCAAATCAATTCCCAGTTCCCAGTAAATATATAGGTATATATGTCTCTAATTGCATGCTTTTCTGTGTTTGCTTGTTTCCTTTGGAGACATGATCTTACTGATACAACCTAGGCTGGCCCCAAACTCACCATCGTCCTGCCCACATTCTGGGGCTGCCGAGTTGCAAACTGACTCTCTAACCCATGTGCTACACTCTGTCCCAGTTGCACAATCTTGCCCTTAACAGCATCACTTAGACATGATGGTCTGGGACCTTGGAGTCACATCCGATCTTACCATATTCCTATTTAGAATCCTTCATGGAAACCCACTATTCTTAATAAAGCCAAGGTTTCTTGACTTGATCTAAAGCCTTGCTGTATTATTCTCCAGCCCCACTCAGAATCCCCTCATCTCCTTCCATTCAGTCACCTTGTTTGCTAGATTAGGCTACAGCCTCTATTACCATAGCATTTACACTTTCCTTGCAATATCTTCACACTTACACTTATTTATACTTAATCATGTACTTATTTGTTTAGTGTCTGTGTCTATTGCTAGACTGTCTACTCCATGAGGAAAAGACTGGATATGTTTTCTTTATTGCAATAGCCTAATGCCTAATAAATACCTTTCAAAGTGAAAAATGAGAAAAGAAGAGAGGAATCAGATATGATAAAACCTGAAAAGTGGCCATTGGATTTAGTGGTTAAAGACAGTGGGTGACCATGGAGAAAGCAGCTTCAGTGGTGTAGGTAGATGCAGCCTGAAACAGGTTGAGGATCAGAAGAGAGACTGTGGGGCCATAGGGCTTAAATTCATTTCAAGTATCTTATTCATGGGAGAAATGAAAACAAAATAGCAACAGATAAAGAGAAGACGTGTAGAACAAGAAACTTCTGCTTTTTTAAGATAAGAAAGAGCCGAGTTTATTTATATGGTTGGAGAGAAAGTAATAAAAGAGAAGCTATAGAAATTAATAGAGAGATTACGCACATGAGATAGGGAAGAGATACATCAATGAAAGGGCATCAGGAGAGTGTGGAGACTGGAGTTCAGAGAATAAGTTCTATAAAACCCAAATGAGACAAGAAAGCCAAGGTGGGAGTCTGTGCAGCTTGCACAGAGGCATGGAGCCCAAGGATGGTGTGGCTTCCCTCTTGCCCTCTAGACTGTCTATTAGTTATACTAGAGTTCTAGGTTTAGTTCTGTTCCTGTGACAAATAACCTGGAAAAAAACTAGAGGAGATAAGGGTCTGTTTGGCATCTACTCCAAAGTTATGATCTGTCATACATGGGAAGTTAAGGCAAGAAATCAAGCAGTTAGTCACATCACATCCACAGCCAGGAGCAAAGAGAGGATAAATGAATTCTTGCTTACTTACTACTCAGCTAGCTTTCTCTACTCCTATATAGTCCATAGCCCTGCCCATGAAATAGTGCTGCCCACAATGGGCTGGGTTTTTTACACATCCATTAGCAATCAAGACAATCTCTCACTGGCACGGCCACAGTCCAACCTGATCGAGATAGTTCTTCATTAAGACTATGTTCCCAGGTGACCTATTTCATATTAAGGTGATTTTTTAAACTAAGAAGCACAAGGAGTCATTCAAAGAAAGGTGAATGGGAGAAGGGCTAAAGAAATAGGAGCTTAGGATCAGGGGCTGGGTGTTGTGGGATATTTGTACACTGTGTAAAGATGTATCACATTAATTGGTGCAATAAAAAGCTGAATGGCCAATAGCTAGGCAGGAGGATAGACAGGACTTCCAGGCAGAGAGAACACTGGGAAGAAGAAAGGTGGAGTCACCAGCCAGATGTAGAAGAAGCAGGATGAACAGTATGTAGATGAGGTAAAGAGCCTCATGGCAGAACAAATATTCCTATAAATGAGTTAATTTAATTCAAAAAGCTAGTTGAGACAAGCCTAAGCTAAAGGCTGAGCTTTCATAATTAACAAGAAGTCTCTGCACCCTTATTTGTGAGCAGTGGTTCCAATGAGAAAGTACTGGTACCTATGGCACCCAACGTGGGGCCACATATTTCTACATCAGACCCAAGAAAGCTTAAAAAAAGATCCAAACATGGAAACAT